CTTTAAGTATTTATGATATTAATATAAATTAGTGATTTATAATATTAATGTAAATTAGTGAAATTATTTTAGTTTTAATTTTTTTAAAATATATGTCGTAATAAATTTTGATTAGTAAACTATTATACTCCAAATCTTATGATTTGAATACATTCATAATTTTCGATTTTAAAAAAAAAAAAAAAAAATGTTGCAACGAATACCAGCTACCAGTCTGTCCGGCCAAATTGGTAAGAAGCGTAGTTCAGCCCTCCGCTTCAAATCACTTTTGAATCTTTAAAAAAAAAAAAAAAAAAAAAAATCACAATAACCAAACCAAAGGAAGGAATATACCACAGTTTCAACAGAGCAAGGCTGGTCAAAAAGAACCAGTTTGACAGTAGTACTAAGATGTTGACTGCTGAACGTCATAGCTTTTCTTCACATTTCCAAACAGAAATTTCAGTATTCAATTTCAAAATGGGAAAGAAGATGTCAAAATGTCTGCGTTATACTCCCTCCGAACTTCTCATCGGCCGGTAACATACAACTATATACAGTACATCAACATTGTACAAATATATTCCCAACAGTGAAATTATACAGTATTATGATATGAAAGGTAAAAGGCACAGTTGACGAGACGGACTATGGTCTCATTGTAAAAACACACACCAGCAAAACCTGGAACATTTGAGAGGCAAAAATTCATGCCAAAAAGCTCACCGAGCGTTTCATGACGGAATTTCAGGGATAAAAGATCTCATCTTCTGGAAATAGTCAGCAACAGAACAACTATCAATAACATCCATCCCAGAGATCACACATTGGACAACAAGATCGGTTTCCTTTTATCACTCTATGAAGAACTTCTTCTTGAATGGAGGGACCAACTCGCCTGAAGACCGTCTTATCTCACAACCAAGCTCAACCTCCATTAAACGATGGTTTTCTTTGGATCGGTTCATTGAGAAAGAGATATTCATATCATCTCCTTCACTAACATGGATGGGAGGATGTAAAAGGAAAACCTGTTCATTAAAAATTAAAATTAGAAGGAAACCGAAACAGAATTGCTGAAGAAACAAGAAGCTAATTACAGACAACACAGGAAGCAAAATGCAAGCATTGAAAAAGATTGTCTCGGAGTACGGATACCATAAAAATGCTCAGAAGTTTCAGACCATTCCCAGAATCTTATGGAAACCTGGTCACTTTACACCATTCATAAAGATATCTTATAAAAAACTTGGTCACTATATACTATTCATAAAGATATCATGGTGGTCACACTAAGAAGCATATAAAAGAGTTGATCTTCAGCTGGACCAATCAAGTATTGCCAGCTAGTGCCATAAAACATCTATCATTTAATTCAAGCCATTGAATTATACACACGGATCTGTCGTCAATTTGAATAGAATTGGGTTCCATTTTCCATTCATTAATTCAACTGGTGAAGCAGTTGAGTGGTCTATGACTCGATACTTGGACTATGGGATAGCCAGCAAGAGGAGATTAGTGTCTCTCTCTTTCTCTCTCTCCACTAGCAAAATTGAAACAAAACAAGAGGGCCAGATGGGTTACAGAAAATGCATTTCACCACCAAAATACCCCAAAAGCATTATAGCATTTAAAAAATTCCAAAAGCATATAGTAAATATCTAGATTCTGAAAATAAAATACAATTCTTTTCTCAACACAGACCTGCTGTCCCCAGTGCGTGCCATTGTGCATACTAGGCGCAGTAGTCAACTCAATTTCTTTCTGAGCTGGATCCTCCTTTCTTCCCTGGCACAACATGAAAGACAAGTTATATTACTTTTAGTACGTATATGCCACTCAAATCCCACTGTCACGTGAACAATGAACCCTGAAGCTTGACTTACCCGGAAATGGACATCAAACCATCCAGCAAACCCACATAGCCTTGTTCTCTCTATGTTGATAGATGAAGATAACTTCGATTCTACCAAGGAAATGTCATCCACAGTTGCAGTTAAGCAGTCTATCTCTTTTACAAGGGCAGCCGTCCCATTAACTTGGTGTGGATGAAGGTTGTTCCACAATGATGTCTGCAAAAAGTTTTACCATGATTTCTTTACAGAGTAGGATACTGCAGCCCGTTCTCAGAGTACACATAAAATCAAAACAGATAGATAAATATAATGCTCTTCTTTGTTACATAAACAATAAGTTACATTCCAGTGTAAGAAAAGTTCCAAAGGAATTAAATCCAGATTAAATGCAAAAATTGAATTAAAAACAACTAAATCAAAACTCATACAAAAAAGTAACCCAAAACACTGACAAATTGATGCACATAAACTAGGATTGACTGGCATCCATAAGCACACATGACTGTATTTGAATATAAAACGAAGTATTTGAGGTACAACCAAAATGTTAAATTCACCTGTAGATAATATTTCTCCTGCTCATCAGAGAAGGACTTTGTGAGAGCACTCATATCAACACCATAGTAGGTTTTAGTGTCACTCAAAAAATTATACCAGTCCTCCATTGCTCCTTCGTAATCATTCTTTTTTTGATCCACCAATCCAGACCTTATTGGAGCCAACCACATGCGAGCATGGCTAGGATACCTGTGAAAACAAATCTTCACTTGTTATGTATGGAATTGATCAAAATTGAATTCTAACCATCTTGAAGTTATCAATAACTCTTGTAGCTAATAATTAATTTTCTCTAAAAAAAATGTAATAAGGAACGACAAGTTTGATTTACCACATAAAACAAGAGTATGAGAAGAATGTAATGACTATTACGTGAGAGCAACTTATTACATTATTTGTTTGGATGAATTAGGATAACTTTGTATTACGAATACTAAATAAGTTTTAATCCTGATTTATATGTACAAATATTGAATCAGAATTAAACCCTTAATTCTAATCACTTATTTTGTTTTGAAGGCCATTTTATCCTTCCCCATCAATTTTTTAATAATTTCTTCATAGAATTTTATATAAAAATTATTTTGATATTTGGAAATGTTTTAATTAATTGAATAACTTTTAAATTGTTTTAAATTGAGTATAATAAAATTCCGAGAATAGTCTCAACAGTGGAGAAGCTTTTGGAATGGTTTATATGAAATTGTATAATTTTATGAAGTTAAAATAATTTTTTTTTTTAATAAAGCATATGGTAAGATTCATTAATTCACAAGCACTGAAAGGGTGTAAACCTATGCAAAAAATATTTACATGTCAATCAAAATATTAATAAAGTCCCCAAAATCCTCTATTATATAAAGAGGATGACCCATAATCATTTACGAAGTTAAAATAATATGAAATAAAAATCAGGTATAGTTTTGTTTATTAGAATAACTATTCAAAAATTTATTAATTTATCATATAATAATATACAAATTTATTATATACAAATAACATATAGGTTTTTTTAAAACAATCTAATGAATATAGAAATTATAGTCATTTGTAAGTTATTATAATTCTATTCCAACTCCTAACACCCTTGAACCAAACATTGTAATAAAGATTGAATGAAATATTCCTGATTGCCAATCAAACAGGATAATATAATCACAATTCCATAACAACATTGTTCTATTTCTGTTTAATAGCTATTACACTTAAAAGCTATATATTCCATTCAGTGAACCAAAGGTAGCCTAAAGCTAATAGCAGCTTAACAACCTTCAGCTCAAAATTTTAATCTCTACTTTCTCAAATAAGTTTCACTTTACTGTATAAACTTATTTTCTAGTAGCTCATAACCATAATATATCAGCTTTGTTATTGATTATTCTATGATTTTTCACTCCAATATAACCAGAATTGTATATACCTCAATCAATTATCAATTCCACCATGCAAACATGTTAAGCTCCCTCGGTTTGCATATACTTCTACCAAGTGACCCATCCAACATCATTTTATTTCTAATTTCTAGTCAACATAAAAATAGGTGCTTGTTTTTTTCCCAGCCTATCGTTGCCAAATTTGAACAGTACACTTAACCAATCTGATCATTATGAAAGTATATAATTTCGTTGTATTTACTAACTTAACTAATTCTCTAGGTTAACTGAACCAGATATAACCAGACAAACATGTGCCGCTGGAAAACAATTTATACAATTGGAAATCCTCATAGTCATCAAACCAAGGTTGAGGAATAATAAACTGATTGAAAAATGTTACATCTTGGACATTTAGTGAAGCCTTATGACATGTCAAGTGAAAGTGGAATCAAGTTTTGGGGGTATAGCAGATAGTACGAAAACAACAGGATACTAGAAGCAAAACACCAATCTGGTAACAACCATATCTGCATGTGATATAAACATGAACATGCTGAACTACATACTGTTAACTTACATGACTCCTGTTGGTTTGAGCCAGCGATCACGTGCACAAATCACAGAATCAAACATAGACTCACGGAGAAGGAAGTAACCCATCCACTCCGAGATTATCACATCAACTGACAATTAATAAAATGTGAATGTAGAATGAGAACAAGAAATACTTGGCACAAAAGTGATGAGAGAGACAGAAGAATTCAAACTTGATTGCTAGGCATGACTTGAAACCTACTAACCTTTCTCTGGTAGAATGACATCCTCCATTGAGCCCTCAATCACTTCAATCACATCCTGAAGATTGTTTGCTTTAACAAGTGTTCGGGCATGGTCTGACATCTTAGTTGCTTCCACTGCATAAACCTTCCTTGCACCAGCTTGTGCAGACCAAATTGCAAGAATGCCACTCCCTGTTCCTACATCCAAGACAGTCTTCACCACAAGTTCACCAAATTAGTCACAGTCCACTTCTATAGCCAAATCCATACACAACATACATGCGAAACCTGTACTGAAACTACCAGGAACTCAAATTACATATCCATTTGGGTCTCTAGAGAGTTTCACCGTCTTTGGAACAAATAAAGTTCCACGAAACAAAAGGTTTGGAATTAGTTTACAAATCCACATTTTTGTGTTTAGAATTATTCCAACGCATGAAATTCATCTTGAGGTGAATTTCATGATGAATTGAGCACATGCATTTTTCTTAGCTGAAAATGAAAATATCATTCAACTATGCAGGTGTAGCAATATCCTGCAACAG